TTATTTTCGGCTTCATAACCTAAGGATGTAGCACGAGATTAAAAAAAGGAGTTGGGAAGGAAGAGAAAAAAAATAAGGAAACTTACATTATACATTATACCATACATTACCCTACTAAAATTACCATTTAGGCAAAAAAATAAATAAATACACAGGTACAGTATATGTGGTACCTCACTCAATAGTAGTAACCGAGAAGTTGTCCTAGTGGACAACCATTTAAATCTGAGCCATCCGTGTGCAGCAGCTGCCAAAAAAGCCAACACGGTTCTAGGCTGCATCAACAGAGGGATAGAATCAAGATCACGTGAAATGTTAATAATATAACTTTATAAGGCCTTGGTAAGGCCACCCTTGGAATAATGCACCCAGTTTTGGTCGCCACGATGTAAAAAAGAGGTTGAGACTCTAAAAAGAGTGCAGAGAAGAGCAACGAAGATGATTAGGAGGCTAAAACATATAAAGAACAGTTGCTGGAACTGGGTATGTCTGGTCTGAGGAAAAGAAGGACCAGGGGAGACAGGATAGCAGTCTTCCAACATCTCAGGGGCTGCCCCAAAGAAGAGGGAGTCAAGCTATTCTCCAAAGCACCTGAGAAGGCAGGACAAGAAGCAATAAATGGGTGGAAACTAATCAAGGAGAGAAGCAACCTAGAACTAAGGAGGAATTTCCTGATAGTTAGAACAATTAACCAGTGGAACAACTTGCATCTAGAAGCTGTAAATGCTCCAACACTGGAAGTTTTAAAAAAGATGTTGGATAACCCTTTGTCTGAAATGGTGTAGGGTTTCCTGCCTAAGCAGGGGGGTTGGACTAGAAGACCTCCAAGGTTCCTTCCAAACTCTGTTATTCTATTCTAAAATCCACAAAACTGCCACCAGTTTGAGAGGTTACAGAAAAAAGCAAAGCATTTTTCCTCGGTCCGAGAACAGCATCGTGCATTCTCATTTGGGTTAATTGCCTTTTTATTGGAGTATTCAAATTGCAACTGGCGCTCCAAAGTCCTTTGGCTTACAACACTTCACTTAGTGATGGTTTGAAGTTACAACGGCACTGGGGAAAAAAAAGTCACTTATGACCCTTTTTCACCCTGATGACCGTAGCCTCCTCCTCCTTGGTCCTGTGATTTACATTGGGACACTTGACAGTTGTCTCACACTTACGATGGTTGCAATGTCCTGGGGGGGTGTCACGTGATCCCCTTTGGCGACGTTCTGACAAGCAAACTCAACGGGGAAACCAGATCCACGTGACGACCATGTGACTGATTTAAGAACCGCGACGGTTTACTGAACACAAATGCGGTGAGTCAAGTCGTAAAATGGGACGAAACTCACTGAGCGGCTTTCTCACTTAGCAATGTCGATTTTGGGCTCAGTTGTGGTCATACATTGAGGACAAAAATGTAGGAATTTTCCCTCCTGTCCTGTGTGTGGAAACTCTTTAGGTATCCCTGCAAAAAGCAAGGGATTTCATGATTTTTAGGAACTGAAAGCACGCCGGGATCTGTAATTCTGACCTTCCCGGAGTATATGGCCAGTCCCAAATTCAGTGGGCGTTGAACAATTTTTTTGGGGGGGGGGGAGGCTTTCCAGGAACTGAGTCGTTGGACACACACCCCCTGCAGCAAAGAGGAAGTTGGTTTATTTGTCTGTCCACAAAAGCAATTTGTAGTTAGAGTACACACCCTTTCAGGCCTCCTATCTCTCTCTCTTTCGTTTTTTTTCCCCCACCCAGTTTGGCAGATGATGAACCTAAGATTGACGATTGTGAAATTTTGGACTCTGTTCTCCATTAAAAAAACATTACACACATACACACACACAGGCACACACACAAATTGCTGCAAGCAAAGGTTAACCCTGGACATTCCTGGCTGCCCAAATGTTTTGGGTGGTTTTTTTTCCCACCCGGATTCTCTTTCTGGCGTTTCTTTCGAACCGCAACAAATGAAATGGAGGCGAAAGGTGTTTTGAGTAGTTTCCCAGCTCGGTTGGACTACACCCTCCCTCATCCCCGGCCTGTGGCCGAGTGCCAGATGCAAAGCTTTGGGGGAAAGCCCAGAGATTGAATTTCTGATTCCTGCCTGGCTGAGCTCCCCGCCTCCAAATGACCAAGAGGATAAATTTTTTTTTTGCAAATTGGACAGTTGTGTTTCACTAAAAATGCCCCAGCTAGAACGTTAATGTGGTTTGTGAGTGTGGGCGCATGCTTGTGTGAAAACAGTTTGCGCTCCGCAAACTGCGCCATGCAAGCTTGGGCACCTCCAAAAGCTGCCTCGCGGCGGCCAGACAACTGAAAGCCTCCTTAATCTAACGCGTGCCATATGGATGCCACCCGATCGATCTTCTCCCCCGCTAGCCAGGTTTCTCCGCCATCTGGTTCCTGCAAAGTGGGTTTGCTAGGGGAAAAAAACGGGCTAATTGACCCGCCTCTCTGCCAGCACGTTGCAGTCGGAGAGCGAATTGGGTAATCCTACTGTTACCCACGTTTTGGTAGTTGTTTTGTCACTTCGGGGCAAATGCGTTAGCGCCGTTGCCGAAGCTGACAAAGCTACAGAAGACAAACACGTTTTGTCAGCTTGTTGGATTGCAACACAGGTTGGCCCTGGCGGTGGCCTGTCTTCCCTGCTACACCCAGCGTTGGCACGGAAACGTGGATGTTATAGGGTGAGGCCTGATACCGTAATAACAAAAGTTTTCTTCATGGCTCTTTGCTTGAATGCCCTGGAGAGGATTCAAGACCAGTTAATGTCTGAACTGGCAGCTTTCCATCATCGTTTCATTCACCAGTTGCTGGAGGAACCTCAGTGAGGACTAGAGTGGTGATCAGCTGGCTTCGCCCACTAGTCCGCAACTGGAACGATTGGACGGGTGCACTTTGCTCAGGGGCCCTCCCCAACATGAGCCCAACGTGAATTAAAACAACATGACATTTTATTCTTTTTAACAGATTAACAGAGTTGGAAGGGATCTTGTAAGGTATCTAGTCCAACCCCGCCTTCTTCTATCTGTCTTTTGTGCAATCCATCACTGACCAAAACTGGCCGAAACCTGAATCCCTGTTATAATTTGGGACTGGGTTGTTCTCCTTCCCTCTTCTTAACAAGGACATCTAAGGAGGTTAAAGGACTGAGTGGACGTTTCCCCAGGCAGAACGTTTGAAAAGTAAAAATTTGGCTTTGCAAGCACAAGGGGGAAAGGGAAAAAAATTAGCCATTAGCTAATCCCTGCATGGCTTGCACATTGCCCCCTGTTCTGACCTAAGCCTCAGTAAGTCCCAGCAAAAACCTCTTTTATTATATTAATGTGAATTTATTTCATTCACAGTCAGCCAACGGCTTGGCAAACCGTCTCGTGAAGGTAGACTAGTGAGCTCAGACCTTTATCAGTTCTGAAACGCTGCCCGGTAAATAGTTCCACACTCAGTGCTGACAAGGAAGGACTGAGTTATACAGACAGATCTTCACGAGGCTGGAACAAACAAACAACCAAACGGGCAAGGTTTTTCCTGCACAAGCCCCCTCCCCTTTTGCTTCTCTTTTCATTCTGATGGGAGGGGCCGTTCACCTTACTCCCACGTAGACCCTGAGTTCTTTTGGCAGCTCTGCGCATGCGCAGGCTGGGAACCGGTTCCAGAAACTCCCCCGCCTCACTGCTCTCTGAGCCCGAAGGCAGCTGATGACTGCTAGACTGCCCTGGCCCCATCTCTGCCTCTGACGCAGAGCCCTCGTCCGAGCCTTCCTCAGCCTGCAGGAATGGCCTGGGTTCCTCCCCAACCTCCTCACTACTGTCCGACTCTGTCGCCGGTGGGCCACAACAGCCCCTGACCCATGGGGGGGGATACGCCCACTGCAAATTATCTTCTAGAAAGAAGAAGCTTTAAACGAGGAGAAGGATTGAGGGAAAACATTTTTATTTTCCTTTGGAAGAGCAAATTCCCTGCTGAACAGATTTCATTTCCTTTTCTCCTTAGGACAGCGGCAGGGGAAGGAACGAGGAGAGAAAAGTGTGGGACTCAGAGAGAGAGACAGATGACCTCTTCCCAGCCCCCCAAAAGGGCTTCACTAGGTACTGTCACCTGCAAATATATATATATATCAGATGCAAAGAGGCTCCCAGAAATTGGTGCAAGGGTGCCCGGAGATCTGCACTGATGCAAAATGCCTGTTTCCACCTCTATCTGTTTCAGGGAGTTCAGCTTGCATATAAACATAGAGCAAGTGGCTAGACCTCATTGTCGCTGGAAGGGAGGTATGGACACAAGGGTGCATTTCCCTTCTGACAGGTAGTCTTCGATTTATGTCCGTAATTGAGCCCAGACGTAAAGTGGGTCACCACTTCATCAGACCTGTTCTTACGACCTTGTTTTTGCAGTGGTCATTAAGTGAAACGGGGGGTCATTAAGCAGATGAATTATTCAACGGTTGTTTTGCAGAAAAGTAAAACCTCTTTTTTTTGGTAAGGCCCATTGTCAATTGTAAATTGTGGCCACGTGACCATCAATGGGTCCGTCGTAACTCCGGAACCGTTCTCTCAGAGACCGGTTGTAAGTCCAAGACTGCCTGTACCGGCAGTCCTCGAGTTACGACCACCATTGAGCCCCCTCCCCCAAAATGAACCATTTCAGTGAGTTTGCTTCATTTTACGACGTTTCTTGCCACCATTGCTCAGCGAATCCCGGCGGTTGTGTAAGCGAATGTGGGTTCCCCTTTTGAACGTGGCTTGTCAGAAAGTCACAAAAGGGGATCGTGCGACGCTGCGGCCATCGTAAATTGTGAGAAAGTTTGTCAGGCATCCGAATGAAGATCACGTGATCCTTGGGAATGCTGCAACGGTCACAAAGTGTGAGAAACGGCGGGTTTTTTCCCAGTGCTGTCGTAACTTTGAATGGTCACTAAACAAACTCTTTGTAAGTTGAGGGTTACCTCTGCTTGCAGTTCAGACTGCAGTTCCTCTTGAAGGGCACTTTAAGGACAAAACTCCCACCTTTGCAGTCCTGTAGCTTAAACTTAAAACTTGCCACCAACTTCGATGCTTTAAGTCAGGTTTTTTGAAAAATCGTTTTTCCTCCCTAAAGGTCCCAGGGAGACGCTCTCCACAGCTTGGCTTACTTGCACAAGCCGCTAGCCGTGTTTACCCCTCCAGCTTTAATCCCTGGTCTTTAGGGGCAGCTGGACCTGGTCTAAATCGGGACTCGGCCGAAACCAGACTCCACGGAAGGATGTTTCGCTCCGAGCTGAGCTAGAGAAGAGGAGGCCCAGATCAGAAAGACGAGAGAGAGGAGAGAGAGAGAGAGGGAGGGAGGGAGGGGGAAAACTCATATATTTGAAAGAAATATCTGTGGGTTTGGGGTTGTTGTTGTTTTTTGCAGCTATCCACTTTCAAGCCTGTCTCTTGTATGTTTAGAATTGGACCTACCAACCCAATAGAATAGAACAGAAAAGAATAGAACAGAACAGAACAGAATAGAATAGGGAATAGGAATAGAATAGGGAATAGAATGGAATAGAATAGAATAGGAATAGGAATA